CCTGGCACTCATGTGGATGTTACTTTGGCATGTACAGTCGTCCTCAAATGTGTTCATGCCCTCCCATCTCCTTTTGTAATGGCCCTCCTATTAAAGAAGGAAAAAAACAGCTGTCACTGAAAAAAGTAAAGTAAAAAAAGTACCACATGTAAGCACTTGGAAAAATGTTGTACATGTTGAGTCCAGGGCTGCAAGGTGGCTCGGTGGTTAGCACTGTTGCCTCGCAGCAAGAAGGTCGCCGGTTCGTGTCCCAGTGAGGACACCCGGGATCTTTCTGCGTGGAGTCTCCATGTTCTCCCCGTGCAGCGTGGGTTCTCTCCAGGTTCTCTGGCTTCCTCCCACAGTCCAAAAACATGTTGAGGTTAATTGATGACTCTAAATTGTCTGTAGGTGTGAATGTGAGTGTGCTTGGTTGTCTGTCTCTAAGTGTAGCCCTGTGATAGACTGGTGACACACACAGGGTGTTCCCTGCCTTCGCCCTGACTCAGCTGGGATAGACTCCAGCCCCCCCGTGACTCTAGTGAGGATTCAGCGGTGTATAGATGATGGATGGATGGATGCTGATTCCAGTTTTCATCAGTTTTATGTATTATAGTATAACGGTGCAGGATTTTATATTGCAGTGAAAATGAGCTAACAGTGAGGAAACCCAGAAACTGTTTGGTGTTTAGAAAACGAACAAGACGGACGCTGTGAGAACAAAGACGAACGTTTCTTGAACTCTGAGCTACCTGATAATTTGCCCCCTCCCACCTGAGGGTCAGCTGACCTCTCAGTGAATCAGTCGGGATTAGCCTCCGATCAACACACTGACCGCACACAACACTCACCGATGGCTGCACACCAGGACAGGTAACCAACGGCACTTCTCTTTCTTTGTGTGTGTTTTTTTTTTTTTTTTAAATGTTAAAGATTGAGTTGAGTCTAGGTAGCATGCACTGGAGGTTGAGCACTTTAGAAAAAAAGAAGAACACATGTAGAAGAAGTCAGACTGGCAATCTGTCAAGGATGATCTCCTGATCCTCCAACAGCTTGAGTCCAGCTAAAGCTCCTCCACGGTCAGTGTTCCTTCACAATAACTTAGATCAAACAGACGTGTTTTCTTTGGTTATTCATCTTCTAAAGTTTTCTCTCTACTTGTTGAACCACGTGGTTGAATTTGATGGTCGTCTAAACGTTAAAAAAAATAACAGTCGGTGAACATGTCAGAGAAGTTTCGATTGAACTTGATGTCATTGTTTTATTGTGTTGATGCTTTGCCTGACATTAGCTCATGAGATGTGTCTGTTTTCTCTTTCTGCCCATTTTCCGAGTGAGTGTGGTTTGTTGAGCATTCTATTCATAGAGCACAGAAGGCAGAATCTCAGTAGACAGGATTACTGGTCACAGTTGGAGTTAAACAAGGACTTCCTACTCGTCAGCAGCTCAGTGCTCGCTGTGTCTTATCAGGTCATTATTATTTCTGACACCAACATGCAACTTGTGCAAATGTCAGCTCTGGTTCGGTGCCACACGGACCCGAACCAACTGCAGCTGATAGTGGTCCGAATCATTTGAGGGTTTTGTAATGAGGTTTTGTACATGTGTGCAGTTTAATCTGTGTTTTTACTTTCTCTCTCTTGTATAAATTGTGTGGCAGCCTTACATGATGCACACTGTAAAAATATTTTATTTGCTGTACTCGCTTGTGTTCAAAATTTGTTAAACTTGTTAAAATACACATGATAATTAGTAAAATCACAGGAAAAAAAGGACTAATTTACATGTTAGGGGTAAAAAAGAAAAAAAAAACAGGATAAAGCTGTAAATAACTTCTTATTCTGTATTGTTACAAATGTTTTTCTTGTGTGTGTTTGTGCTTTACTGTGTGTGACCTTATGATTACAATTTTCTTTACTTGATTTAAATTGGCAGTAAAAATCATTTTTACAGATATTTACTTTTGTTTAAAAAGAAAAAAATGTGTTTATTGAAGGATTCAGAAATGGTTCATATTTCATATTTTAAATCTGATATTTTACAGTTTTTTTCCCCTCCTATTTAGGTAAAGTATATATAATGTGTATTAAAATCGTCTAGAAAGTTATTCATTTAATTTACATGTTGACTGTAGAACAACAACAACAACAACAACAACAGCAACAAAACACGAACATGCCAAAACTGTAAAAATGTCCACATCAAAAATCTTAATTTTGCCAAAAGATATTTCTTTTTTTTCTCTAACAGTGTGTGGCCTTGAATTACAGTGTTTCTTACTATATTGAAATCTGAAATAAATATTGTTATTTTAAAGATGGTTACTAGAATAGAATAGAACAAAACTTTGAAAATAAAATTATGCACAATAAGGATTTTAAAATAGTCCATAACTTTTTTCTTTTTCCTTTTAACAGAAATAAGTATTATTTACATTACACAATTAATTAATTACATGTTAACTGCTCAAAAAACAAACAAACTTAAGTAAATATAAACATGCAATGTGTGACCATAGAATTACAGTGTTTTAATGTATTTAAATCAGAAATATATATATATATCAGATATTTGCTGTTATTTTAAAGAAAACAATTTGTCTATTTAAGATTAAAAACTTACACATAATTTGTTTGAACTGTTTACAGATTTTTCCTATTTTGTTAAATTTTCTATAGTAATATCAAGTAAAATCACAGAAAAAAAAAGTTTGCATGTTAATTGTAAAAATAAAAAAATAAAGATCTGTCCATATTTTTACAAATAGGTATTTGTTCTTTTACACCTTTTTTTTTTTTTTTTTTAACTGTATTTAAATCAGCTATAAATAGCTTTATTGTACATATAGTTCCCAGTATTTTCACAGGAACATTACCCTGTTCATCTGTTATTTAACAGATTTTTTCTGGCACCCCAGAGTTTCGCGAGTTTTTTATGTTGTTTTTTTGTTGTTTTGTTTGTTTTTGCAGCGCACGAATTCACCCGCCCACCTTATAGGCCGTCTATCTGCTCAGCATGGCGTCCCTGGACGAGGAGATGACCTGCTCGGTGTGCAGAGACAGCTTCAGCCACGCCCACCCGCTGCCCTGCGGCCACAGCTTCTGCCCCGCCTGCGTCCGCGAGGCCTGGAGAGACCATGAGGGAGGAACAGGTCGCTTCACCTGCCCCCAGTGTCAGGAGGAGCGAGGGGAGGTGCTGTGCGACTCCTGCCCTCCCCAGGCAGAGGATGGACAGCCAGCGCTGGCCATGAAAACCTGCCTGAGGTGTGAGGTGTCGCTGTGTGCCCAGCACCTCCAGCCTCATCTGGAGAGGCCAGCGTTCAGCACCCACCTGTTGGTGGATCCTCTGGGAGACATCTCCCAAAGAAGGTGCCCGACGCACGCAGAAATCTTCCGCTACTACTGCGCCGATGAGAGGGCCTACATCTGTGGAGACTGTCTGCTGGAGGGAAGCCACGCTCAGCACAAAGTGAAGGCTCTGAGACACGTGGAGGAGGATCTGAAGGTCAGCTGCAGGGATGTGTAGTAGACGTGTGCTTTAATGTGTCGCTGTGTTGGTGCTGAGGAGCTGAATGTGTGATTTCACAGGTTATTCTTCAGACGCTGCTCATAAAAGCAGAGGAGAAGCTGAAAGACGGAGAGCAAATCCTCAAAGACTATGAGAACGTGGATTCCACCATGGCTGTGAGTGTGTTCTAAACCAAACTCCACATCACGGCTCTCCCAGTAGAACCCGTCCATACCTACACAACATCAGGCCACAAAGGATCCAGAACCGAAATCCTTATCGTACTCAAATTGGCACCATTCTACCTAAAGATTAGTTTCAATGATTCTGATCGTGTTTGATTCTCCAGGACTCCCTGAAGCAGGACGACACTCAGGTGGAGCGGCTCGGCTCAGAGCTGCAGGTCCACGTCAAGAGGCTGGTGGCGGCTCTGAGGGACATCACCAAGAAGGAGAGGCAGCAGGTCATAGAGCGAGTTCACCAAGACTGCTGCAAGGTGAAGGACGACATGAGCCAGACGCTGAGCATCCAGCACTACCTGTCCTCGCTGCTGGCAGAGACCGACCCCTTCCTGCTCATCTGGGTAAGACGTGGCTGGAAGCAGATGAATATAGGAGTCAGGATGCAGCTGTTAATAAATGATGGTACAACGCGCTCAGATGTGAAAATTAACTGTTGATGAAATTTGCCTCCAGTTGTGTCAAACAGAATATCTGCACCAGCTCAATGTGTGCTCTATAAGGGAAGCAAGAATAACCACGGCAACGACGATCATGTCATTGTAGTCCAGACTGAAACATGCTCAGAGTCATTATTTAAAACACTGTTGAGCTGTATTTATTTATTTTTTTAAAACAATTTACCAGTATTTTACAGATTTTGCCTTTTTAATTTAAGGTATATAGAATAGAATAGAATAGAATAGAATAGAATGGTTTTTTTGTCATCATACACAAAGTACAATGAAATTAAAAGTATAAAAAGACAAATAAGAATATATAAACATATTTACAAAAGGAGCCAGTAGGACGTACATACAGTCAGGAATGAGCATGATAACAGCCAAACAGTAGAATAAATATATTGTACTGCTGAAATAAGAACACTGTGGATATATGAGAAATATAAATTAAACATATATATTATTATAAATCCATCCATTATCTATACACCACTTAATCCTCACTAGGGTC